TTTTTTTGTTATAAACTACTTTATACTTACTATAATAAAAAAACTTTAAAGAAATGTGTACAAATAGGTACCGAACTTAACTACTGGAAAAACAATATTAAAAAAAATTGTTGATGAATTACGTATGTATGTGTTTTATTATATTTTTATTAGGAATTTGGAATTCGTGTTCCATGTTTTCTAATATCACCATTACAAAATACAACTAATCCCAATACCACGTTAAAACTATAATACCGTCTACCATGCACTGGATCTTCAAGCCATTTATAAAGGTCGATAATTTTAATCTGATGGTCCTTCCGAAACGGTTTCCATCTTAACAATAAGAACAATTGATCTGTACTTAATCCATTTACGAATCCAAACGTTGTTACTAGTAGGCGTTCTCTATACGTTCCTTGACCGAAAAAAGAATTAATAATAAATTCTGGAACTCTATCAAAATTCGTAATATCCATTCCATTAAGAAGCCTTCTGCGAGCTTGCATACGATTTTTCTTTATTATTTCTCTGCTTTGATTATTCATATTATTCGTCGTGTGTTTTTTTTCGAAGAGCCAAATACTTCTTATTTGAAATCGCATTAAACAGTGAAAAAGTGGGACTTATTTCGTTTATGAAAGTGGGACTTATTTCATTTTGAGTGGGAGTTATTTCATTTCAAGTAAATTTTTAAATCATTTCATTTTGGTGGGGCTTATTTCGCTTTCAAAAGTGGGACTTATTTCGTGGGAGTTATTTCATTTTTTTAAGCAATTTTTGGTGGGACTTATTTCGCTTTAAAAAGTGGGACTTATTTCGTGGGAGTTATTTCATAGACCCAATAAAACACCTATTTGAGGTAAAATTTTCGAGTGACGAAAGCTGAACTAGAAACACAAAATTTATGATATCAATTTCGTGACGAAAATTATACGCATTTTTTAACTGCCTTGGAAACGTAGGGTAAATCTTTTTTATTCATACGAATCGTTGCATAAGTTCTGTTTTTTATTTTGTGTTTCTAGCAGTAAACGCAAAAATATAAGAAGTGATAAAAACTTATCAACTTGGTACCAACTTTGGATACAATAAACAACTATATTCGTCTGATAGTCTCGTAGTTTATTTTTGTTAAGATTTCTACCGGGTGTGGGGCGCACACATGTGTTCTTTTTAAGAAGTTTTACTTCTATCACGTGTACGATGTTGCACTCGTGCTACTAAAGTAATGCTTTTTTCTCAAGTAGTTTTTTTTTATTGGCAATTTATACATATGTATGTAAGTAGTAGCGGCACATTGGGTGAACTAAGTGCATTCATACATACATATTTATGTACAACTATAGGTAATATTGTACGCGTCTTCCCAGGTAGGTTAAGTGCTCTAAAATACACACAAATTGTGGTTTCCAAGACATTTACGAAGTGATTAGCACAGCTGCATCTTTCAACTTGTTAACTCGCGGAAAATTCCCCGATTTTCAGGGAATTTCGGTTTAAGTGGCAATCGGGGAATGGGCAATTTTTTTCGGAGAACTGTAGTGCGATTCACTAACCTGTTTTAACGATATTCGCATCTTTATCTCAGCTTAACAATATTTTTAACGTTCTTGCTATTCGGTAATCCTTTTCATGAAAATATTCGCTATCGCAAAATCAGCTGTTGTTAAAGATTCGAAGTTGTCGTCATCTAATTGTATGTTGTTAAGAAACAAGCAAATACAAATTGAAGTGTATTTAACAAAAAATAAGACCAAAGTCAACCCCAAATAGGTAGCAAAAGGGCTAATTGTGTGGCTAATTGAGATTTGTTGAAATAGAGTGTACGGCTACATGGCCCTTGAGTATTTGCTGTATGATGTTTTCCGGGACGGACCGGAGCTAAATACACACCCAGCAGATCGACGTGCACTCTGGGATGCCGACAATGCATTGGAATTGCCACCTTCGGAGTTCCGGAAACTTTACCGGTTAAGTCCCGACGTGGCCAACGACGTAGTTGCACAGCTGGATAATAAGTTAAAAGGATCCAGAATAACTGCTTTATCTAATGAAAAACAGATAAGTCAATGTTTAGGATGTTTACAACGTAATATACTTAAGAAAACGACTTTTCATTTTGGTAGGTTCTGTCTGCTTTACGCTTTTATGCTACTGGTTGTTACCAACGCCCTGTAGGAGAGCAGTGGGGCATTTCAATGAGCCAGTCGTAAGTAAGCCGTTGCGTACACCGGGTGACAGATGCGATCAACAGTAATTTATTTTTCACCAAAGTAAAGTTTCCAATGACCCAGATTGAACGCCAAGCTACAAAAGAAATATTTGCGTTAGCACCTTCTTCATTTGTTGGACGCACTATAGGGGCAATCGAAATTTTGAACGTGAATGCCAGGTTTCCGGGGGCACGGCACGACTTATATATTTGGAGCTCGTCTGCCATAAGAAGAGTAATGCAGCGATCTTATGAAAATGGCAATCACATGTTTTTGATAGGCAAGTTAAGTTTAATTCATCTAATAATGGAATTTTACAAAAAAAAAAAACTGCAGGTGATTCTGGATACCCATTGGAGCCGTGCCTTATGACGCCATTACCAAACCAACCAGAGGCAACACCTAAATTTCGGTATAATGAGGCGCTCTGTAAGGCTCGCAATCCAATTGAGAGACTTTTTGGCGTTCTTAAAGGAACATGGCGCTGTTTATCGCAGCAAAGAGTGCTCCTTTATGATCCCAATTCGTTGGTAAAGTTGTTAACGCGTGCGCAGTGTTGCACAACATGCGTTCGGGTGAGCAAACACCTCAGCTGACAATAATTCCTGTCAATACAAATGCACCATCTTCCGCGACAAAACGTGTTCAAGAACGACTAATTGCTAACTTCTTTTCCTGAACATACGTTAAAATATGTGGAAAATTACCTACGAACAATACTCAGATGTTTATATTATCAAGTTTACAGGATTCTTTGAATTTTAATATTTTGTTTTTTTAAATATGTATATGCAGTTAAGTTAATAATGTAAACCATATAAATCAAAGATTTAAACTTTGTGCGAAACTCGCGAATTAAATTGGAGCTTGATAAAGTGGAAGTTTCAAGCAGCTAAAAATT